AGTTCCACGTGCTCTGTACCAACCATCCCCAGAATTGTGGCCTCCGTGACCAGTGGCCTTGAACACCAACACTGGGTAGGGCAGCTGTCCACGCACCTCATTTTCATCAGACTGTAGATTTTTAAGAAGGAAAAACTTCATGAAATATGGGAAATTATCTATGTCTCTTGTATTTTAACAAACCCTCTTAATGGAACAATCCATGTTTTAGTCAAGAAAAAAAAAGGATCACTTCAGCCGAGCTTTGTGAAATACTTCCATCTTTTCTGGTGAAATCCAGCCCAGCTAAGGAGATTCTGGCATGAACACTCGAGGGCTGTCATGCAGGCCGTGTGATCCCACAGACTGCCTTGGTGGGGTCAGCCCGCGACCAGCTGGCCAGGCGGAACTCTCAAGCCCTTGTGCGGGGAAGAGAGGGGGGGGCAGCCTGAGGCCCGGGGAGGTGGGTGCAGCCCAGGAATCTGTGTCAAACCCTGGCCTGGACGTGTGGCAGACCCCCAAACCTCCTGAGCTCTAGAAACATTCCCCCCCCAGTTGTGCTGGAGATGAGGCCTGGGGCCGGGCAGCTTAAGCCCGCCCCCCCAGGACACAGACCCAGCGGCCCCCTCCTCCCTTCTCCCTTGAGGGCCACACAAGTGTTTTGAGTGGGTTTTGTAATATCTGATGTCCCTCTTTTGCCTTTTTTTTTTTTTTTTTTACATTTAAGTGATTTTAAAATCTATTTCTGATTGATTTTTTTTTAATTTTGCATTTCTAGTCATTATTTGATGAGCTTTGTGGAATACTGTCATTATTTGGGAATACTCTCTAAAGCCTGTCTCTTGAAATAATCTGTTTTACCTTGAACACTTTGACCACTTTTAACCAGTGTCTAAACAGGCGGAGACCCCCTCTTCACGCTTTCCCCTCCTTCAGCACCGTTTGAAGCCCTACCACCCGAGACAGGAGTCAGGAGTCACTTTGTGACCTGCTGCCGATGACTTCGAGGATGTGCAGGTCCTTCGCCAGGGGCCTCAGGTCTGACTTGCTGTTCGAGTACAGGCGGGAGTGGTGGTGCCCGGTGGGAAGGAGGGTGGAGTTGGGAGGAAGGAGGCAGTAGGGTTCCTTGAGGTTCAGGAAGGTCAAGAAGTATTAAGGCCAAAGAAGGCACAGACCTCTGCATGTGCGTGTCGACCTGCAGCAGGGGTCCCCTCAAGCAAATGTGCTGGGAGGTCCTCAAGAGGCTCCAGGAAAGTTTAAGTCCCTGCAGCGGCATGCACATGGCTCCGTGCTGTGAGGAATTCCCATTACAAGGGTGAGTCTCAAAGCACCCATGGAGCCTTGGCCCCAGTGGGAGGTTCTAAGAGGAGGGGGGAGGTGGGAGGGCCAGGCTGAGCTGGGGGCGTGTGGGCCCCTGTTCCAGCGCCCAGAGGTCCTGCATGGTCGCGGTGGCCTCGGGCCTCAGCACTCGTGGGCGGGGAGCCTTCTGTCTCTTTCTGACATTTGATGATACTGCCAGCCCGTGGGGGTCACTCTGAACTGTGAGGACATCCCCATCTCTGGGTCTCCAGACCTTGGGACTCCGTGGGCTGGGACTCTTTCACAAAGGCTCAGCCTCCCTCTCTGCCACGACGCGAGGAAGGTTCAGAAAAGAGCAAAAAAGACACTTACTTTTCTTATCCGTTGTGTACCCGCAGGTCACCGTGGGGACTCCAGGACCTGGGCAGGTAGGGAGGGAGCCAGACAGAAACTGAAGAGGTTGTTAGTGTAGGCAGAAGCGAACCCGGCCTTGCAACACACCGCGTCGCAGTCCCGGACGACCCCTTGTACTGCAGGCTGTCTGTCTTCCTCTGGGCCCTCGTTCATCACAAGGGGCCCGATGAAAACTCTATGTTCCAGCTGCAGAAAGCGCGATACACATCATTTACAGAGCCCTGACGGTTCACCCCTCCCGGCTCCGCGGTCCTTGCATACAAATCACCGCCGTCTTGTGGTTAAAGTGAAGCAGCTCAAGCGAGGCCAATCACGGGCGGCTTCCTGCGGCTCCTCCCTCCATGACCTCTTGGAACACCTGGTGAACACTTTCGCGTCCCAGCAGGGCTATGTTGCCAGGCTTTAAGCCCGTCGTCCGTCCTCCCCGGGCCATTAACTGCGGCTTCCCAGCTCAGGCTTTGCCAGGAAGCCGGGGCCCAGCGGTGTGAGGCTGGGCTTCCTTGGCCCGGTCCATGGTCAACAGCCTTGTCTCGTGAGCAAGAAGTCCAACACAAGGGCTTCCCAAAGTGGCCCACTACATCATTTTGAAAGTAGACTATGGGTGGAGCACCTTTTCTGATCTCCTCTCTGCCCGCTCTGCGAATCCACTGGACTTCTGCAGATTCTGAAGGGCTTGGCGTATCATTCTCTCTGCCCCAGAGCCTTTGGCATGGCTTTCGTTGAAGTCTCTGCTCAAATGCACTTCTCCAGCCACCCAATGGAAGAGCACCTCTCATGACCATGCCACCAGCCCCTACATGTCCCTGTTTTCTTCCCCTTTAGAGGTCACTGTCCCCGCGTTCTGTAAATTTGGGTCCTTATAGCAAGAAATTTTCAGAAATTTGCTCACTGTCAGCGTGTTCAAGCATGCACCACAGTGTAAGCTCTGGAATTTATAGGGACAAAATGGGATGCAATCTTCCTGCCGTTATTTCTAGCACCACAGATGGTACTTTCGGGGATATAGTGGGTACTTGACCTGTTCACTTGGTGAGTGCTGATGGTGATGCTTGGGAAAGAGCCCTGTGATCCTGGGGGACTGGGACAGAAGGCAGGTGGGAGGCTGAGTGGGCAGAGAAAGGGGCCATCACAAAGGACATAATTAGGTCGGGTTGTTTCCTGCTCTCTGCTTCAGGCTGGGGACTCTGGGGCGCTATGAGGCTCACAGTGGAGCCACAGGCAGGGCCCGGTATGAACTGTCTGGGGAGGGATGAGAAACGGAGTTCAGCTCACAGGGTCATGTACCCCTTCTGTGTGCTTCTCTGGGGCCCATAGACCAAGTGGCCAATTGAGAGCCACAAAACCTGGCACAGATCCCACCGTAGTCAGGCTTAAGACCCCACTGCAGTGGCTAAAAGAGTGATTAGTCAGGGCCCCAAGAGGATGTGCCAGAGAAAAAACAGGGCTTCAGACCCCCAGACCCTGGCTGAGCTGAGACACAGCCTGTGGGTGCGCTTGCCAGCCACGGAACTCAGAGCCATCCACTGCCCAGGGACTGGACCCAGACACTGTCTAATGCATCCAAAGTCGAGGCCCTGGGACCTTATTCCCTCTCCCCATGCCCCCCCTCTACCATTGACCCGATGGGATATTCAATCAAGTGGGCATTTCAGATAAACTTGGTATATAAATATATATTTATATAAATATATCCCACATTATTTGGGACTTACCACTAAAAAAATTACTTGCTGTTTGCTGAAATTAAGGGAACTGCATGTCCTGTATTTTTGTTTGCTAAATCTGACACCATCTCCCCAGGCGCCCAGGCAGCAGTGATCTGAGAGTCTAGGTGTTTTAAATCTAAAGAACCAGCCCTCACAGAAAGGGGTTTAAGAAGCACTGGCTGTGGGTTTAAATTATTATGAATCAAACTAAGTTTCCCGGCTCAAAGATCCATTTTCCCCCATGGGGAGCTCATGTGGAAGAACAGTCAGTGTGAGAAATAAAAGACATACATCTATTTCCTCTGCGTTGGGGAGTAAATTCACATACAAGTATCCTGCATTTTGATTAATAATGTAAACAACTATTATTTATTTAGTGCCTACTATGTAGAGGCACTCTGCAAGATGTTTGACATGGGTAATTCATAGCAGCTCACAGTGGCCCTCAAAAGTCAGATTACGGATGGAAAAGCGCTTGGGTTCTGAGGTCTGAAGCCTTCCATCTAACCTGGTAGAAACTCATCCCTCCTCAGTTTTTTAATTCATTAACTTGATATATGTTGCTAAAAAAAGAGCCGCAGAGCACTGAAGAACAGGAATAAAGTGATGACAAGTGAAATACCCTTCTGACCCCCACTTCCCAGAGGTGACCTAAACTTGTCTCCCAAAATGTCTTAAAGATGATTCTCTATTAATGATCATATTTGCACACACAGATATTTTAAAACAAGGTTCAAGTAACATAAAAACACCTGCCAGAAACCAACAGCTTTTCTCAAATCTTAAGGCTGAGAACCCTATTGCCTCAGTGTTTTTTGTTTTTTTTTTTGTCTTTACTGTTTTTTAAAATTTTTTTTTTTTTTAACGTTTTATTTATTTTTTTGGGACAGAGAGAGAGACAGGAAGCATGAGAACTGAGGGAGGGGCAGAGAGAGGAGGACACCAGGAAGCAGGCTCCAGGCTCTGAGCCATCGACCCAAGTGACAGCGGGCCTCAGAACTCACAGGACAGCGAGATGCGTGACCTGGCTGAAGTGGCCAGCAACATTTCGCCACCCAAGCCCCTTGTCTTTGTTTTTTAAATAAAACAT